TTAAAGGTTAAAGATATTAAAGTTTTATATTTATTTATCTTTAACCTTTAATATCTTTAACTTTAAGTTACTTATAATTAAGGAAAATAATATAAATAATATAAATAAGAGAGTTAAGTTATTAAAGTAAGCTATAAGAAAACTTTATATATAATATATAAAAATAATAAAGCCTAATAATAAGCTATTTAATAAATATTATTAAAGATACTAGTCTCTTACCTTAATAGTTAATAATCTTATACGCGTGTATATTTAGTTTAAGAAAAGCGAGAAGAAGCTTAGGTTATATTAAGAGAGAACTTGAGAAGAACTTAAAAAGCTCAATATCACTTAGTGAGTAACAAATACTTAGCGCCTGAGCTGGTGTGGCTAAAAGCAGCGATGTAATGCGTCGCCATCAACGTTCAGTTACACTAACAATTCAATGGAGTTGCAGACATGGAATGCTAGGCACGGAAATGGACGGCCATGGCAGGGCGGCTCCGCGGCTGCAGGCCCATGGTCTTCCGCCCCAAGCATCATGGGCACGCCCAACATCTCCACGGAGGGCTCGCAGCGAAACTTGAGAGGACTGGTGGTGGCATGGGTGCTGCGGAATCCCGAGCAATCATCAAGCGGTTGCGTCCTCGTAGAGGCCGTGCAAATGCTGGTTGGCCCAGGTCCGACAGAAACCCCCAAACGGCCAACGATGGCCCGAGTCGGGCCTGCTCGCCGAATCAGTGCAATGCCTTAGCCGCTGTGGCCGCTTTGCCCCCTTTTCGTCACTTGCGACGATGCATAATATGTTGTTTTCAGGTTTCATGACTTATTTTTGGCTTCTGTAGTCCACTGGGCCTCGACTCGGAGCCCGCAGCTGACAACGCGGCAACAGGGACACGGTATCACGCCATTGCAAGCGCGACATATCGTTTCAAGGAATCAGAACCCTACTGACGGCCATGTTATGCCAGGAAAGGTCTGTTTGGTGGATTGGGCTCCTGCTTGGGGTATAAATGGCGAACATGCCACCTTGCAAAGGACAGAGAGATGCCTCATTACCAACTATCTACCCTCAAAAACAATGGTCTCTAATAAAAAGAGGCTTTATGTTGCCCTCTACCCCAGTGGAATTGTCAATAATGAGGAACGCAAGTAAGACACGTCGCTGTGCTGGCTCAATTCCTAGAGAAAGCTAACGTACAGATACCACTGGGGTTTTCTCATTGGCCCCAAGGATGAGGACAAGGCACGGGTTCCCGGCCTACGCTGCAATGTCAAAAACCATCCTATTCAGGGTTGGACATGCGAAGAAGTCAAACTAGAAAACGTGAAGAGCACCACCACTCTCCTCGCGCGACTTGTCATTGCAAAAGTTGAGGATGAGAAAGGACTCTTGAAGATTTTGAGGAACACGGCTGTGGTTCAGGACAACCCAGACTTTCGCTGCCGGACTTGGATGGAAGACGCATTATTGAGAATATCCAAGGCAGAACCCAAGGTCGTTGGAACTTCGAAGCTAGACTGGAGCAAAATAGAGCCAAAGGCCAGGCGCTACGTCGGGGAAAAGAATGCTGCTGGGAGATATCTAGACGGAGAGCGCATGTTGGAGCCCAAGCCAACTTGGAACATGTTGGAAGAGAAGGAGATTGTACCTTAGACACGGCCACCAGGCCTCCTCCTTTTCAGAAGTCTCCCCACCATCTCTGTCTAATCGTCTCCATTTCGAGTTCCTCTGGGCAGGGCTCAATGAACTTTGGGACCAGCTTTTGCCATGCGCCTCTTGTCTTGTTTCCAAGCCAAACAGATGTATATTCCCAATAATGAGGATACCACCCCGAGAACGCCCAGTCAATGATGCCTACAATCTTCCCATCCCGAACGATGATATTGAAAGGGTTCAGGTCGCCGTGTGTGAACACCGGTGGTCCCCATTCCTTGTCCTCGTCTTGCATGGCTACCATGCGCTTGATGTCGACCCAATCCTCGTCATTGACACGCTCTGGATACTCTTCTGGCTGAAGCCCTTCGCGCAGCCAATGGTGAAATGCTCGAATGGAGGGGAACGGCCCGAATCTTGTTTCGGACCGGGGGATCCGAGAATCACGCAGTGATGCTCCCACGCAGCTCTCTACCGCAATGCCTGGAGCTGGGAGGGCCCGCAGCTCTTTGAGCATGTCTCGCAGCTGCGTCAAGATGCCGTCGAGCTCCGATGCAGAAAGAGTTGGCCAGGCGTCGGCGAGAGTTTGGCCGCGAATGCGCTCCATGACAATGTATGCTCTGCTCTTGTGAACAAACGAGCAATGCACGCGGGGCACTGGGATGCTCGTCCGGGCAGCAACAAAGGCCATGGTCGCGGCTTCAGTCAGGCCAATGCTCTCACCCGTCTTGACGATGATGCGGCTGGAGAGGGGGACACAGGGTCCATCCCACCTGTAGAACCGCGCAGTGACTTTGAGAGCCAAGAGCGTAAGATAGCGCCGTAAAGGGGTGTTGTTGATTGGTAAAGCATCGGTGTCCTTGAGTTCGGTTGGCGTTTTGCTCATTGCGTGCTGTTGGAGCTCATGCACGACCTTTGGAGTGGCAGAAGTTGAATGTTGAGTCAAGTTGGTTTTGTCTTGCCATGGAGCTTGCCTGCGACCAAATCCGGGCTAGTGGCTCACAACGTCGCTGATTGGTCCACAGAAGCAGCCCGACTTTCATCCCAGCTCTTTGACTCTGTCCTCGATGCTATAATCCTTCCGAGTCCTGTTATTGCTGTGTCGTAAGTAAAGTCCTTATATGATGGACATTTCGGCCGCTGTGCCGGTACCTAATGCAGTTTTCAATATATTATGGGTAAGTTGGGGAATACAAGACCCTGATGCCAACGAGCGAGTTGTCCTAGGGGTAGGCAAAGCGGGCGAGAATGACTACTCAAGTCAATACATATGTCAAGTAGACTATTAAGCCTGGCCAAGCCTTTATTACACCCTTTGGGGGCCCTTTGGGGACCCTGCCGGGGGCCACCTTTACTCTGGCTGTTGTTGCTAGCTGTGGCTGCTGTTACTAGTGGCGTTTTTATATTGATTAATTGCCGAAGAGTATTTTTCCTTACACTAATTAAATGCTTTAAAACGCTCTTATTATATAATAAATGAAAGAGGTAAAGCGGGAAGCTATAATTAAGTTAAGCTTACTTGCTTATATTCCGTAAACTTTACTCGGCAATTAATATAATCCCGCTTTGCCTAATTAGACATCTCCTCTCTTACTTGAGCTATCTCACCATGAACGCGCCGTGCTATATTATCCGAAGTAATAAGGACCTTTTTAACGAAACTATGGCCCTGGTTGTCATCCATAACATGGAGCTCGTTCAGATGAAAGCTTTGTTAACAGGTGTGCTGCCAAAGACCTTACAACTAGGCTGACTGACACATTTCGGTTGTAGAGGCGGCTCGAGGATGGCTGTTATATACTAGGTTTTAGAGTTCTAGAGTCCTTGATCAGCGCTCGTTTCATAAAGACAGGTCTCTTGAGCTCTCGGCCCCTCCGAAGCCACCCTTGCCGCGACTTACCAAACCTGCCCGATATTTTCAGGGCATAGCAGTTCTGGGATAGGTATATCAATCAGGATTGTCTGCAAGTCTTTCCTAATTTCTTTGTTGATTTCAGCACCTTCACTCTCCCACCATCCTTTGTCAGCTTTGTTCTTTTCCTCGCGACAATACTGCAGCTGGCCCTGCTGGTGCAGTGTCACTGCCCCGTGAACTTGGGTACTACCACGTGCCGAGAGGTTTTTCGAAGATTCTCTTCTACGATGGCTTCGGAGACAGACCTGCTGGCAGCCTCCCGTCTCCCAAGAAGTGAATATTAGATTTGGGCACATCATACCCTGGTGGTCCTGCGTAATGGGGAATGAATGAGGTGCAAACCTACACTTCGAAACGCGCCAGCACTCAAAGCACGCCCCAAAAGACGCTGCTCATCACTCCACTTCGCGCCTCGAACGGCTCCTGGACGTCTGCCCGTATAGAGGCAAAGGCCAAACGGGACTTTGGCTGCGCATCCGGCAAACGTCTCGGCGACGAGTTCAAGGCCAAGCTCGGCAACAAACCGAAAGCTGGGCAGTTGTGTATTTGGCCTGCAGGGTGGCTCTTGGGCTCGAAATCTCGTGGGAACTTCCGAACTGGCCAGGCATCGGCGAGATTGACATCATGGAGTCTATCAACGGAGAGCCGAGAACCTTTCACGTCGTGCACTGTAGAACCAACCCAGGTGGCCCGTGTAATGAGCCATCTAGCGTCTCGGTCGATGGACGGCGTTCCTGAATGGACTCTTAAACAGTACGACTTGGGCAATTTCACCGCATTTTTTAGATTACAATTCGAATGCAGTATGTCTATTACTCTTCTATGAAAACAACAGCAGTATCTTGTTCCTTGCAGCCGGTCGTGCAGTCATACAACGAGCAACAGAAACAATACGGTTGCAAACCAACATAACTTCTTCATCTCGAGTGAATTCTTCGACGACCCAAACCATCGCAGTGTGAAGTGTCTCGCATGGCTGCCATGGGTGGCGGCGGCATTACTCATGAGTAGACTCTCAAAATGTAGTAAGCTGAGGCCCAAATCTGGCTTGTCTGACGTATAGCTTATCTGCAATATAGTTTGTCTCAAATACAGTTTGCCTCTAATGTGTACGTCTATTGGGCGCTGTGCGAATCAGCAATGCACACCCAACAACCCCCCCAAAAACCTTTTCCTACTACCCTAACCCTAACCCATCATGTAGCTGTGATGAAAAATAATAGGATATAAAAATAGTTGAAAAAAAAAAAGGATAAGTAATTCTGCATGGATCTGCGATCGGTCCCACCCTAAAGTCCAACTCGCGTCGGGGACTTTGTGAAAGTTCTACCCGGGACAAACCGTAGTTGGTCACAGGCCATGAACACGCGTGGTGGCATCGGCACTTCTCATGGTGCTTTTCATCCCCTCTCGTACTGCTGTATGCACACAAGAACAATGGGTTGATGATGAGATTATGCTTGAGACTTGTTTCTAATAACATTCAACTTCTTTGAGGGTAACCCAACTCGTTATTTCATGAGACTCACGGATGACTGACGTCCCTTACGCGTCCATTGTTCCTGTTGATGTCTAGTTATACATACATGCAGTAAATCCAGCAAGCGATTCATAGAACTGTGAATGCATGGTAAGGACCTGAAAATCCGTGGATTCTAGCAGCAGGCGTTTGTAGTCCAAGTAATACTCCAGGTTGTAACACTATACCCAAGTATCTCGAGTGGGATGTACATGGCGGCCTTGCCAATCTGCGCAGAAGGCGGTCCAGGATTAGTTTTACGAATCTTGTCAAACCTCAAAACATGGGCGCCTTCTCTCGGTGATGGAGTCTGCCCGCGGCTGGTGCCACCGAGACGGCCAAGATGGGGCGCCGTCTGCCCCGGCCGGCCCCGTCGAGAACCGGGACCCGGCCGGACGCGAAATTGAGGTCGTGGCTCCTGACAGGTCCGATGGGGAGACGCCATCCAGTATTCGTGGCCTTGCGCCCTGAGTGTTAACTCCACTGTATACTATTGTTTTGATTTCTCGGATGCCGCGATCGGTGGGAAGGGCCGCCAGTACCTTAATCGGTATAAGTGTGGGATATCTGCCAAACATCCATGAAAGGCTGCAGCACGTGCAGATGATTGGGCAGCCGTTCAATGCTGGCGAGTCCCCCGGAAGCCATTGCTAAGCCGAGCTCATCCCACGTGGGTTCAATGCTACTTCAAATGTTGCAGAAAGATGGAGAAGCTTGGCGGGGGCAATGGAGACGGGGCGGGAGACCGGCATTCATCCCCAACTCTTGAGACTCTCTCCTAGACACACCGTGTGATGCGAGAGGCTTATTGATCTGTGATCGTATTGGCTGCTACCTGGCCTGGCTACCGCAGCAAAGCCTTCTGCGCATCGAATATCTTGTACTGGGTATTCGCGTGCTGACTGTGAGCCGCCTTGATGCAATCCATGCCGGCATCACAGGTGTGGAATTTGGACATGATGGTCGTCTCGACTCTAACCTGTGCAACAGGCCACATTGCTAAGCGCTTGTTCGGTTCCCACGCTTCCTCTGCAGTCGGACGGGTGTGCTCGTCATGGAGAGCAACGCCCCGTGTCCTCCTGGTGTGGCGGCGCTGAGAGAATCCTTCGGTGACGGCAAGCCTCCCGAGATTAGCAGAAAGATTACAGCGTGCGTTGCGTGTCGCAGGCAAAAGGTAAAAGATGAAATAGCATGAAATTGATAACCAATAAGGACAACAGATCCTTGGCTAACGTACTCAAGATCAAGTGTCATATGACAAATGGCAAGGCCCCGTGCACCCGGTGCAAGAAGCGATCTCTTCCATGCACCGTGAACCGCAGCCTGCAAATGCTATTAGAAGATGACATCAGGTTTGTCACGGCAACTTGTCTCCATATGACTCCGAGTTAACCCCGTCTAGTTGGAAGCAGGCAATTGGGCAAAAGGTACAACGTCTAGAACATGCCATTGGCGCCGTGGCAAAGAAACTCGACATGCCGGAACTGCGTGACCTGTTTAGTGAACAGGCTGAGCTCAATGCCATGTTTGGTCATGGACAGCGCACTACGTCCGCAGGCAGCGGCAGCCATCTTCACCCTGCACATGACCATTCATGGGAAATCACGGTTGATCCGCAGTGTGAGCCGTCCTCAATGCCGGCTTCGTGTATTGCCCAGGTGCCCGGCGACGGAGCTTCAGCGAGCCATGCGTCACGAAAGCCTAATCTTGTGTCAAAAGGGTTGATATCGCTGGAGGAAGCAAAAGTTTTGTTTGCCGTTTATCAAGACCGACTAGACCATTTGCTGTATCGGATCCTGGGCGACGATGCCAGTTTGGAAACGGCAATGGAAAGCTCGCCGTTGCTCACGGCGGCAGTTTGCACAGTTGGGGCGTTGCATTCCGAGCAGCTTGGCCATCTCTACGATACGTGCCTCGCCGAGCTCAAGATGCTATTCACGACGGAATCGCTGTCGCGGCAGCACAACACGGATGATGTCCGAGGACTCTGCATCGGGGGATTCTGGCTGAGCAGTCTCTCGTGGGCCTCATCGGGATCCGGTAAGCTCTCCCACTTGCCGTGGCGAGGAATATTGCTGTTGACATGGTATTGCAGCCGTGCGAATAGCTTCCGAAATTCAACTCCACCACGCGATATACAAGGCCCTGGAGGGCGACAGAGACGCATATCTGAAGACGCGGCTATACTACCACGTCTATGTCTGCGACCACCACACGTCCGTCTTGTACGGCCGGCCACCAATGTCTCATGAATGCGCCAGCATCAACTGCACCAAGCTCCTCGAGACGGAACACGCAGTCGAGGACGATGTCCGGCTCGTCTCCCAAGTAAAGATATGGTCCATATACAGCGACATCTTCAACTGCTTTGGCACCGAGACCGGCAAGCCCGTGTCGCCGTCCCAGCTGCCTCAACTGCGGCGCTTCGCCATTGCCTTGGACACCTGGTACGCCGACTGGCGGGAGAGGTTCAGCCCGAATGAAAAGGTCGGCAACTATCCTGCCAAGGGGGTCGGGCTTCACTTCAACTTTGCCAAGCTCTACCTCTGCTCCCATGCCTTTCGGGGCCTGCACACGTCTCCCTCGCCAACCTTGGTGCCGGAGCTCGAAGAGGTTGCCAACACGGCCGTCATCTGCGCAACGTCAATCCTCGGTGGCTTGAACACGGACAAGGAGGTGCAGCTGCTGCTCAACGGCCTGTCGCTGTGCTTCGACATGATGATCACGTTTGCAGTCGTCTTCCTGCTCAAGGTGGTGACAAAGTACCCCGATACCATCTGGATGGACAAGGCTCGCATCCTCGACATTGTGAATCAGACGCTTCACATTCTTGAGAGGGATGCTCCTTCGATGAACCAGAAGCACCTGCTCGTTTCTGTTACCCCGGCGTTGAGCAAGCTGGTCCAAAAGGTGCAAGAAACGCCGTCGACCAGGTCCGGGGCGGGAGTTGGCCATGCTCCCTTGTCTCCTGACCCGTCCGTTTCCCGACAGAGCGAGATTGACTGGATGCAGAGTTTTGGCAGTTTTGAGAATTTTGACTTTCATGCGATGCTGCCCGATCCCAATTCTTGGTCAATTGATCTGGATTTCGGCGGTGCAATGGACCATGCCAATCAATAGTGAATGCATCTTCCTACTTCTTCTTCTTCTTCTTCTTTTTGTGGCAGGATACTTGGTAGAAGGGGGTCGATGTGTTAATTTAGAACCAGCGGGATTGATCCTCTATTCAAGTTTCTTTTACGGCGGCGTCAACACTAGGCGGTGCATCTGTGCCAGGTTATAACGCAACAGACTAGCAATTCAAGAACGAGTTTCCGGGAGGGCATTGTACAGCCATGTTCTCATATGCTTCAAGTCCCGCGACCGTTGTATCTGTATTCAGGGCTTTGGCCTGATCTTGCCACTTCCTGATAGCGAACTGGGCTTGGAGTAGAGGATGCTTTGGAGCTTCTCTGACTTGCTCACCGTTGAATCGGTCGCACTGTTCATCATTAGCAATTTATTTAGACTTGGGAATGCTGGAACTCGGCTTTACTTGATGAAGCGAGATTTGCCGACTCGTCGACCAAGTGCCTCGAAATACCCTGGTTCTCGCAGTCAAATACACCTTCTCGCTGAAACCGAGTTGGCGCAAGTAACGCCCGTCAAGCAGCTTGTGTGCCGTGCTGAGCAATCATTTTGGACATGGTCTTCGCCAGTGGTACGACTCTCCCGATGTCATGGACAACCACACGCCCAACACCACCCGATGGTCGTGCCCGAAGTGGTTCATTGTGTCATTTATAGCAAGCGTTGCGGTTGGAATACACATTCTCCCAAATATCCAGTGCTTTCCTGGTATGTATAAATTCCTAGAGCTGCTGGAAAATGTCTCTGGTTCTCGAGTCAGCTGGTGGCGACATGGCGCTTGACTTGACAAAGAATGAAGGGGCTATACTCGATGCCGCACAAGATGAGTAACTGCGAGGTGTTGCTTTCAAATATTTCTATATGCTTGAATCCACGGCCAGAAGAAGGCAGTCTGTGCGGCCATTTAGACAAGTTGATTGCCGTCGGTGTGAAGCCCGACTTGCAGCAGCTCGTTACGCTCGGGGCGAAGGCCGGGCAAACCCGTCGCTGTGCTTCTCGACATGAAGGCGCTCAATTCGTGGTGGACCCGTAGTTGTCGAGTTTGAACCAACACTGCAAATTACAAAACAATAGAAATCACTAATAGTCCTTTTCTTTGGTAAGAATGTACGGGGATGTTATGTCTATGTAAGACCCTCGCAAGCTACAAAGTACACAGCCTGCTGCACACACCCAAGTGTATATGAGTCCTGCTCGGGATTGAAAAGCTCAGCAATAGAATTCTTGGCCTATTGACTGCCATTTGAGATTGCAGGTATCCAACCGGCTCCTAGCACCACTATTGCCGGGAAGCCATCTGCACCATCCTCGCGCAGAGATCCGCACTGGCACGCTGATTATGGGCAGAAGCCATGGAAGCAGCAAGACCAGCGATAAAAGGCGAGGCCATGGAAGTGCCAGTCATGTAATTCTAAAGAAGAAAAAACGCGTCAGTATCATTCAGAGGGTAAGAGTATGGCCGTGAGATTGATGGCTTACAGCGCCGCCGCCGGGAACAGTAGATAGAATGTTAGCACCAGGCGCCTGGATATCAACAACAGAGCCATAGTTGGAATCCCGGTATCCAAAGCCGCCAACGGTGCAGATAGACGGCTCGGAAGCAGGCGAGTTGACTCTAGCATCGTGGCCTTCGTTGCCAGCAGCGACGGCTACAAAGAATCCTCTCTGCACAAGCTTGCGAGCCGCCAGGTTGAGAGCAGGGATGATGCGAGGCACGCCGGCGGACATGTTGACGACGATTCCGTTGGGGCAGCTGCGCCGGGGCGCGTCCTCTGCGACGTAGTTTAAGCCGGCAATCAAGTTCGATATGCCACTGGCGTCTGGACGTTCCGAAAGGGCCTTGACGCCGTAGATGGTAACCCTCTTTGCTACGCCGTAGGTGTTGCTGCCGAGAATGCCGGCAACGTGCGTGCCGTGGCCGACAAAGTCATAGCCGTGCGAGTCCACCAACGACGCAACCATGGAAGCTCGACCGCCGAAATCCTGCCTCAAAGTTAGCCCCTTTGTCGGCTTGCAGCTCGGCTCGCATGGGAGAAACCAGGGTCGAGGGGAGGGCATACGGGATGGCTGGCATCCACACCCGTGTCGACAACATAGGCACAGACACCTTGGCCGCCGGTAGGGTTATTGATGTATGGGGTGAAGGCAGTGTCTCGTCGGAAAACTTGGTCAGGATGCGAGGGGACCTGGTCCTGCGGTCCGACAACAGGGGCAGTCGCCTTGGGGTCTGGCTCGACGGCTTCCACCTTGCCCTGCGGCTCGTCAGGAAGAGGCACCTTTTGGTCCATCTCGACAAAGTCGACCTGCGCAACGTCAATAACAGGTATATACTATCGATCGGGTGGGTGGAATGGTGAGCAACTATACCTTGTCGTGGCTTCTCACGGCCCTGAGACTATCTTCATCAAACTCCGCGGTAAAACCCTTGAACAGGTTCTCGTAGACCTGCGTAGCATTTCCATTCACTAATCTCATAACCTCAGCAAGAGCTTGAGAATCGCCATCATCCTTCAAAATGACGGTATATTGCCCATGGATCGCGTCAGATCCATCACGGGGAATAATGAGGGGAGCGGGCTCAGCGCGCTTCGAGGCAGGCGCTGCGGCCGTAATAGGCAATAGCAGAAGAAGAGCAGATGGAATCATTTTCAATGTCAAACAAGTCAAGTGTCGTGAAATATTTGCAGTGATGTTTGGTAAATCTCCAAAGGTAACGACAGTAGGAATATCAATGCGAGAATGTTGCAGGAAAGACCGGCTGCCGAGCTGATTCTGCGTCTCTCGGGCAGTTCTCTGGCGGTCTATTTATTACTTCAAACCCGCCATGGTATTCACTGAGTGGCTTTGGTAGAGTCTCTAGTCCATCTTACTCGGATCCCCTTTTTCGCTTCTTGGCATCTATGCTCCTCTGACTCTTTGTTTTTGTGGTTGAGACTCAAAATCCACATTCCGACTCTTATAGGCCCAAAAATCCACAATCTTCCGAAACAACTTCAGGATGCATCAGGACATGACAACCATGGAACTGAGGCAAAGGAAATTTGGTTGGTTGTGGCAATGCGAGCTCTTACCAGTCCAGTATGGGAAGGGTCCACGCACCATTATCTCATTGCGAGACTCGTCATTCACCAAGGTTCTTCTTGCGAAATGCCACATTACTCTCTTTTTTGTTTCTTATTACATGGCGCAATCTCGAGGTTCTTCTTGCTCTCGGATTACTGTTGTCGCTGGCCCCTTGGGCGGTAAAAGCGAAGCGCTTGCATGATTTACTCCATCGATGCTGCTTGTCCGGCACGTCAGCCATTATAACAGGGGTACTATGCCCACTCAATACGATTAACGGGTCCGGTCATCCAGGTGTCTAAAGAACAAAAGTTCCAGCCGGTCACGACGATAGAAGCCTAGAGACCAGGCTTTCGGTTTCGCCAAGCCCGGCAGCGGAGAGATGAACAGGAGGAACTACTTTGCTTCTGCGGCAGAATATGTCACTAAGGAAAAGCGCATCTTTGACTGCGTTTTGCGTCATTCAATACAAACGCGGACAATCCAGTTGCAACGTTGGACTGTAATCTCCAGCTGCGCCTCTTCAAAATGATACATGGGGGCGTCGCCGAGCATCGAATTAGTTCCCAACATAATGCTCATGGGCAACTGGACGATGAAAAATGAGTCTAAGCCACTGACGTGTAAGTATACGGTTAATGTTGTGATGCTGCTGGTTTTATCTGAAGCGCGCGGCAGGCAGATGCTTGCGAAGCAGGGAGATAGTCCAAGATATTGAATAGTTATTCTGGCCAATATACATTCGACTAGCCCGGCCAAAAAGCTTCAAATATAGCAGCAGCCCGAGGGCCCGAATACAACAGCTTCACAACCCGGCCCTCTCCACTTTGCCTATGGCCTGTATCAACATTTCGTTGGCATCAGGTGCCAGAGTAGTCATCGGGCTTAGCCACTAAGCTAGGAAGCAAAAAGATGTAGCAATAGCGGCGCTTGACCGAATATCCCCGATATCCCACTTGTAAGTGCGTCCTCTTGGCGTTGGGGCTTTAACACATCGTCTTGTACGGGAGGACTATGGGGAATGTGCATATATTTCGCGACAAAAGTTCTTGCGCAAATACTTGACGACTAAGCCATTACGTCTTAATGCTTTTTTAGAAGCCCTTTCGTGAACCCATAAAATGACTCGTGGACGACATCTAAAACTGATATTAAACTCGAGGCAACTAAATACGGATAAATACTAGCCTTTGATTGCCTGAACCGTCGATGCGGAGTATATTGGGCTCCACACAAGCTCCTGCCAAGCATAGTTAAGATAAAATTTAGATTCCCGTCTTCTGTCTTATCCATGGCCCCATTTTATGCTCGCACCTCCTCAATTTGGCCGTGTCCGGATGTCTTGGTCCCTTTCTTCCCGGTCCCAGTCCCACTTCCCACGCAGTTGAAACGTCACATCAGCAACAAGGTCGGGCTTTTTCTCTGCCATCATGCTTGGTGCGGCGGCATGTTCCGCAATTTTAGACTTTTGCTTTCTGTACGGCCGACAATTATTCTAAGCCTAGCCTATGGGCCCGAAAATTCAGCCTTGACCAACGAGCGGCTCATAGATCCAGCAGAAGGAAAAGTTCTCACAGGGGAGGGATTAAGATGCTCGGTATATTACAGTGATTATCAGGTTGGACTGCTGGGCCATGGAGCGAAAGGTCCCAACATAGCGGCCCTTAGTCAAGTCACCCGATATCTAGCTTACAAGTATGCACATCATGGCGTTCTCTGTGGCATTTAACAGGTCTATGATAAGACACTGCTACGAGATACATGAACATTTATTTCGTAGAGGCTTTGAAGATGGTTGACTGTTTACGGCTGGCATGAAGTATTTGTAAATCAAAAGATAAATAATCTTCTACTAGATTTTTATGAAACTTTTATTCTGCTATAAAAGTATTTTAATCCAAGTAAATATACTTTATTAGTACAGTATATTATTTAGTCTACCGCGGTCACTGGCTAGGTACGACCAGACATGTAGTGTAAATTTTATTCCGCCCTACCTCATATAGTATTTACACGAATAGCGAGAGTGGATGAAAAACAGATAAACTTGATGCTTTGCTTAAAATATCTTCCGTAGTTGTTGTGTGTAACATGCCGAATGCACGCTACGTGGGTTAACGGCGCAGCTGGCAGTTTCAAATATAGTATGCCATTGCGCAACCTGGGTGATATTTGCTTTTGAATATGCTAATATTATCAATGTATCTACTTATTATATCATGGATAGCAGTTACTGCATATTTCTTATGCATACATCTATTGTAAGAACTGCAGACTGTTGCAGATTTTCCCAGCGGCGACTAGACGCCGCATTATTACTAAGCCGTATAGTGTAAAATAACGTCGCCCATCCCCAACACGAGATGATCCACCTACGACAGGCGAAAAACGCCTGAATATCTTCCGTAGTATAGTGGTCAGTATGCAAGCTTGTCACGCTTGAGACCCGGGTTCAATTCCCGGCGGGAGAGATTTTTTGGATATTGAGACCTTTTTTACTTCTTTTCTTACTCTCTTTTTTTCTTCGTATTTTTCTGCTCTAGTTGAGTGTTTGTGTCTGCAGTGACTTTGTGAGCTTGGTAGCAGGCATAGACTTTTCCGTGATGTCGTGTGGCCTTGGCATCTGTTCCTCCACCCCAGCGCAAAGCGAAATTGCGCACCTCAATAGCTGTCTTGACATTCCGCAACTACTGCAGCGTAGTCTTCCCAAATCCTTAGCAGCCCAAGCATCTGATGTCAGCACATTACTATAAATTTGGAAACAATACGTAACCAGAGATCTTTATCCTACTACATCTACCTTGTTTGTAGCATTACATCAAGCTGGCACCAGAAAACCACCCAAACATCTAGCTACCCGGTATCCCACCAAGTGTCCCACGACGCATCCAACTTCACGCTTCACTCAAAACATCACGCCAACAACCACGCGGCCACACTCACCAAGCCCGCCTCACGCAACCCATCATGATCAAACGATGGAACCATCAAGCCCCGACGCGGCCTCCTTCACCCTCCGCCCCATCATCCAGGACCTGGTGCGCACGCGCTTCGCGGTCCCCGGATCCATCTTCCTCGTCGAGGACATTCAAACCGTTGCCCTCACACAATCTCGTCGCTGGCAAGTCATCCGCCTGCTGCTCGGCGACGGCGAGCTCTGCATCCAGGCCCTCCTGGCCGACGCAATGCACCGCTTCGTGCACACGCGCGACATCACAGTCGGCAGCTACGTCTGCGTGCAGGACTTCCAGCTCCGCCAGAGGACCACGGCCTCGGACACCGGCAAGGCGCAGCAGATGGTGTACCTGGTCGTAAACGACTTGGAGACGCTCGGGTGCAACGACGACGTGCGCAGCATGCACGACGAGCAGCTGGCCGGCGAGGCATCGCCCGCGGTCTCGGCAGCCAGCACGCCCGCAAAGCCGGAGCCGCCCCCCGCCGTGGCCGCCCAGGCACCCGGAGATGGCGAGGACTTTGAGGACGACGACATGGAGGATGCCTTTGACGAGTTTGAGGCCCTCGCGTTCCCTGCCAGGAAGGCGCCGTCGCCGTCCAAGCCGGCGGCCCAACCCTCCAGCAAACCGTCTCTGCCCGTCGCGCTGCCGCGGGACTGGCACGACGTCCAGACACCCCTCAAGCTTACCACGCTGCGCGCGATACCAAACTTGCCCTACCGCCAAAACTGGTCGTGCAACGTCCTCGCCATCGTGGCGTCCTTGTCGGCCGTCGAGTCTTCCCATTTGCCGCCGTACAGGCAGCGCACGGCGCGCATCACCGACCCCTCCACGGCCAAGCAGGTCCACCTGGCTGTGTTTTTGGACCCCGACGAATTTACCCCCAGGGTTGGGAGTGCCGTGCTGCTGACGGGCGTCAAGAACCACCGGTTCGACGGGGGCAGTTTGAAGAAGTATGCGAGTGACAGGGGGCGTGGCAGGTGGTGGTTTGAAGACCCGTGGGAGTTGGCCTGGTGCGATGTTCGGGGGATCAAGGACTGGTGGGCCGAGATGGAGGCGTATTTTGCGAGTCAAATGTCCGAGGAGGTTATTGGCGGCGATGTGTGACTCGGACGTATTGCTTCATGGGCTTACTTGGTAATGGACAGACAACAGGACGAATAGATAGACAGCCTTGAAGTTTAACAGGCTCGTGCGTTGGATTGGGTATATACATTTTTACGACACATGTGCCACGGCCTAAATGTTCGGGGCCACATGTCTACATCATCTTCTCCTCGTTCTACTTGACACGGGAGGCGCGGGCTCGAACGCATCATCGTCAGATATCTCATCATCACTAATTTCAAAAGCCTTTTGACTCGCGCCCCCACCCTTTTGTGAAAAGTCTAGCTTTGTTTGCCTGGACTTTGCGGGACCTCGCGTCGCCGTCTTCCTCGCCGTCGTTGATGCCGCTGTTCTGGTTGCTGTTGCTCTTTTGCCCCTCGTGGTGGGTTTCGGTGGTGGCGGAGGCTCCTCTTCCGATTCCATGACAACATCCTCTTCCTCTTCCTCGCTTTGTTCGATGGTTTTACGACCGCGTCCCCGTGCTGGGGCTTTCTGTGTCGAGGCCTTCTTCCCGGCGGCTTTTGTGGTAGCTGCTTTTGTGTCTCTGGCTGTCCGCTTTGTAGGCCTTGGTGCTGGTTCATCGTCGGACATTTCTTCGCCGTGAGCTTCTGCCCTGCTCGTACCGGTCCGCCCAAACCCTTGTGTTGTGGTTAGACTCAGGTCGTGGGTAGAACCTTCGTATGTCCATGCGTCAGGCTCGTCCCCCCAGTTACCGTCGAAATCACTATCCCAAGTATCGGGCTTTGGCTTTAATACCCGTTTTTTATCAGCATTAAACATTCCTCTGCCAGGGCCACTGGCCATTTGCTGCTCAATTCTGGTTCTGTAAATGTCCATGGCACTGTCGAGATCCTCATCATCAGATTCAAGCCCAAGGAGCTGCTTCACTTGGCCGGTCAAGTGTTCCGAGACAAACAACTCCATGGCATGTTTGTCGTCCTTTGAAACGAACTGATTTACCGCGTCTCCAAAGGGGCCTTGCGGAAGGACTTTAAGAGACTGGGCAGATAAGAAGTCTTGTACCAGCGACTCCACCTTTATGGCGTCTGCACCGTCGGCAAGGGCCTCGAGAACATTTTCGGGAAGGGTGGCTGTAGCTTTGCCTGCATAGTGCATTAGTCCAGCGCCTAGCAAAAATAGCTGAATCGATTCGGTACTTACGCTGTGAAGTCTTTTTGCGGTAAAAGTAGACGACATCGTTTGTATTGGCAACTTTGCCGACGAATCGGTTGGAAAACCGCTGTGGGTTCTCACACTCAAACAGACCCCCATCCGAGGCCGTGTACTCGACTTTGAGCCGAATCAGAGGCAGCGGTCGCTCTTCTAGGGCCTCTTCATCTGTCTGGATGGCTTCCCAATCTGCATTTGCTTCCTCAATCATCTCATCCACAACTTCCATTAGCCGTCTGGTCACTTCTTGTCTGTTGTCCTTCTTCTTGTCTAAGCCCTTGAATCGCTTATCTTGAGCCAAAACGAGTTCTCTGGTCACGAACGGGCGCACCGTCTTTAATGGGATTTTGTCAACTTTGAAATCCTTGCCTGTTACGCTCAGAATGGCCACGTGCTTTTGCACCGCCTCACCTGGCACAAGCGACGTGGCTACCGACGAGCCAGGCTGCATGACGTGAAAGCCTGTCTCGGGGTTCTGTGTTGGATCAATGAGACACTCGTGTTCGTGCCCCCAAACTACCAAGTCAAGCCAATCCGGTAGTACGTTCTCCGGAAGATATGATGTCGCGGTGTGTGCATGATGATTCTGGTGGACAGCGAGCATATTGAACCAGTCACCCATTTGCACATTTGGCCTGAACCACTTGACTTTATGGTCTCGAAAAGTTCGAAACATTCGTTCGTCTCGGACATTACTCAAGCCGAATAGGGCGAGTTTTGTAATACCCTTTTGGAGGAGAATCGGCTTGGCTTCGATATTATCAGCCTCGGCTACTCGTCCAAAATAATTAAGCAGACCGGCAGCTTGTAACAAGTCGAGCGAGCAGTAATTGCCGTCTCCCGAAGGGTCGTCGTGGTTACCATGGATAGAAAATACAGGTATTGAAATATTGATATCGGGGTCTTCGTAATTGACATGGGGAAATGCGCCTTCGAAGACGGTGGCAGCGTCGGAGAGGAACTCGAGAGGGCACGGCTTCATGCCGAGGCAGTTTTGTCGCAGTGTACGCATGACCTGGTAGAGAGACTTTCGCGACGGTTTATTTTCATGAAAAAGATCGCCAGCAAGTAAGACCATGTCAACCTGCAGGGCATGTTAGCTGGGGAGTAAGCATGCTGAGTCTGCCATGGCAATGATATCACGCTGACATCTTCAGTTCGAGCAATATTCAGGATTTCGTCAAAAGTTCGCCAGCTGTCATCTTTGCGAATGGCGTCGCGCTCTTCGTAGCCGACATGATTGTCTGTTGCGACGAGGATTCTGATGGTATCGGCCTCTGAACTTTTGTTAGCAGATGAGGTGGATTGTTTCGTGACCAAATTTCGTGACCAAGTGTCGTTACCTGTGAACTCGGTCATAGTGCTGATCGTCTATCGGATTGAGAAATGATGCCGGATGACCTGAACTATGGCAAATAATAATTGTGAAACCTTGGGTTGGTCATTTATGCAACAAAATGTGCACAATCGTTGGGCCAAGCTATTCGCCGGGAAGCTTGTCTCGATTGGAACGATGGATCATGGGAGACGCGCACTGGACGCCGCGGGAGACGCGAAATGGTGCGAGATCACGTGCAAAGCTGACACCAGGCAAACGGGCATCATTCTTGACCTTCAGGAGTAGAAACTGCATTTTGTTACACAGGTGCGGGGTGACTTTAATACGGCATGCCATTGCGTCCAACCTGCTTCTTTGATTAGCTTCGCTTGACATTTGCGCACTCACAGACGATGTAATCCAGGGTGCGGCCTATCTGACGGGGGTCATAACGGATCTTTATTAGCTAACTGGTTATCAGGTTACTTCGGAAACGCGGCATTTACGACTCCTCGAGTCTGGTTGGTAATATACAAAAATAAAGACGTCTCAGAGTCGACGGCGGGTGGTCACGTTGGGCAAATATCGCAGCTGAGACCACACCTTGGCAGCTTGGCTACCCAGTAAATCGGCGCGACTCATTTGACGATTCTTGTACTCCGTACAAAAGCACCAATCCATCATGGCAGACGACCAGATCTACCCAACCCATTTCATGGACAATAGCCGGGGTCTAAGGAACCTCATAATGGCCTGGACCCTGCGTTTCAACGATGTCCTTGATGGTGATCAGCTAAGCGTTGCTCTGTGGCGCCTGCTCGAGATTGGGGACTGGAGAAAGCTGGGTGGGAGATTGCGAGTTGGAAAAGGGGGCAAGCTGGAGATGCATGTACCCAAAACCTTTACAAAGGACCGCCCGCCGGTGGCATACACCAAGGAGACCTTTGACGTGGCCATAGGTGAACACTCTCTTGCCAAGGACCTCCCGTCACCAACCGAGAAGCCATCACTGCAACGGGGTGCCTCGGATTTTCGCTCCCTTTCGGTCCGACCCGATGCACCATCGACAATCGGAGAACTTGTCAGCCAGGATGTCCCGCAGGTGTCTCTGCATGTCGTGACTTTCACCGACGCGACCCTGGTCTCAATTTGTTGGCCACATACTCTGATGGACGGGATGAGCCTTCAGGGGCTTCTGAAGGCCTGGTCTTTGGTTCTTGCCGGCAAAGAGGACCAAGTTCCGGCTTTGCTTGGGGCTAAAGACGATATTCTGTACGCCGCTGCTCAAGACGCTGCGCCTGGCGATGAATGGGTGCTGAGACGGACGGTGCTCACTGGATTCAAATTCTTCCTTTTTGTCGTGCTGTTCTTGTGGGGTGTGCTTACGGAACGAACCATAGAGTCCCAAACTATTTGTCTCCCAAAGGCAGCCATGGCCAAACTTCGTCGCCAGGCACTGGATGAAGCTGCGGTGGCGAAATCAGGACAGGAGAAGGCTCCCTGGGTCAGTGAAGGTGATGTGATCATGGCATGGGCCGTCAGAATGGTTGCTCTAGCCCAGCCATCTCCACGACCAGTCAACGCGCTGTGTGCCTTGGACCTGCGACCGCGTATTCCCGAGTTTGCAGAGTCAGACGGAGTATACATTCAAAATGTGGTGATTGGGTCAAGTGTTCAGCTCTCGGAAGACGATGCGCGACAACCTCTTGGGGTCATCGCATCGAGATGCAGAGAGGCCCTTATAACGCAAGCCACAACACCACAACTTCGAAGCTTCTTGTTTGCACTTCGCAAAGTCCTGGATGCCGGCGGGGATCCTACCCTTCTTCCAGGCGTATGGAACGGAGAGCTGTTTACGATTTCGAATTGGACAAAGGCAGATTTTGTGAAGCTGGTAGACTTTTCGCCGGCTGTGGCGAAGACTGGGCAAGCTGGGGAGCAGAGAATCAATCCACCGGGCACCATGGTCTATCACCAGTCTTTTATATTGGGGAATGACGCGACTTTGAGAAATGTTATGGCGGTGTTGGGCAAGGATCGTTCAGAGAACTATTGGATGATGGGATACTTTCCGCCAAGGACATGGGCTGTGATTGAGAAGGAGATACAGAAAATGGGCGAGACTTGACAGCGTAGTGATGCAGAAAGTGTCATGGGTCATGCGGATTTCAGGTGAATAAAAGCGCGATAGCTCAAGGTCACTCCGAGACGAAATTTAGCAAGCAAGCGTCTCTTGTGGACATAGCTCACTTTATAAATTTAGACGTATATCTAAAATAGATACGTTTGGAAAATGTGGAGTACATGGCCATGCAGGAAATCTCTTTTCATCACTATAGACTGCATCTCTGTCGTCAATACCTCATAGATGTTGGCTCAAAGCTTGCTGTCGGTGGTTTGCTTCCGTGGTTGACGCGTCTTGACGGACAGCTCGTCCCACCAGGGATATCCGCGTGGCGCGTCCTTCCAAATATCCGCCGAAAACGTGGGTTTCTTCTTGGCAAAGAAGGCCTTCTTGAAGTCTTGGTGGTCACTGCAGACAAAAAAATTAGCCAACAATGTCCATCGATGCCCGGGGTGATGTGACGGCGGCATGAATATGAACCTACTTTCCACTAAACATGTCGAACAGCAGTGGACTGTCGACAAGATGGGCTCGCTCAGCCGAACCCGGGTTTCTCCAGATCAACTGGCGATTCAGGTAAGCTGCCATGATGCTAACGTTGGCGACGATGTCCTCTGCCACCTCAACGGCCCGTGGCAGGACGTTCTTTGGCTCCGGGACCAGCTCGGCAAAGATGCCGTTCAGGGCGGGCGTGTCTGCGGGATACCTCTTCCCCGTTGCCAGGAGATATGTTGCGTTGCTGTATCCTACCATTCGCGGCAGGAAGAAGGAGCTGCACGACTCCATGGTGATGCCGATGCGGGCGAACGGGAACCCGAACTCGGCGGTCCGGGGAGCAATGCTAGATTCAAAATGTGAGAAAAGTAAAAGCCCAACTCTGTCTTTTCTGCGCATAGTTCATTATAATGGACTACATACCGAATCGTCGCGGCCAGGGTGGATGTCATGCCGATGCCGACGGACAGTCCATTGTAGGCCACGATAATAGGCTTGCTGCAATTGAACATGGCCAAAGCTAGAGTGCCGCCAAGATCTCGCATCTCGCTAGGCGGTGCGATGTCCTTGATATTGCTAGTGTCCATGGTAAGATCGATACCGGCGGAGAAGGCCTTCCCGGCGCCGGTTAGAATGACTGCCTTTACCCGCTCGTCTGCATTGACAGTTTTGAAAAGAGCGATCAAGGCGTAGATCATATCTGAGGTGATGGCATTCAGCTTTTGCGGCCGATTCAGCGTTGCAATCAGGATGGGAGTCACGCCACTGCTGGTAGGAGGGTGGTTTGTGATGCGGACATGGCTGTCTGCTGGCGTGACATAGCTTTGGGGAAGCTGAATCGTTTCAATTTCAGACATTTTGGATACAATTGGGTTTGATGAAGGTGTGAAATTGTAGTCTTGCAAAGTGCAAGTTGAATCTCGCTGTAGCCATTGCCATGGCGTATTATATACCCTTTGTTCGCAGCATTGGACGGTAACGTCAACCGAAAGATCTGGCGCGGAGGTGTTTATATCATCAAAAAATCCATCATAACATGCACTGCATACTACAAAAGTCAAAACAGACGAAACCTGGGGCATGCCGGGGATGGGCTATGGCGAACCGTAGTTACTCTACGTGTTACGCACTGCCTCTTGTTGATGAGTTCGGCAAGGATCGATAATCACTCCGCCCGGCCGAGGTTCCGCTCAAGTTTTCGCTCAAGTTCTTCAGACAAGTTCCGTTCTCCGCACAAGTTCTGGTGGATCTTTTCTTGCAGATCCGCGCGTGTGGCGTTTGCCGTTATTGGTAACGAACAAACCAATTGTGAAGGAGCGTAGTGCCGAACGGCTTTTATAGCAGCAAAGACAAGTTCTATATAGGAAAAACATCCTTGAACCACGCTGGCGAATTTCGAAGATTCGGTTCTCGTTGCTTTCTTGGGATTGATGAGATCAACCTTGAATACAGTTTTGAGGTTTGCAACTTTGCACACCCATTCTCAACATGACCGTAGAAAAAAAACACTGTAGAAATACATACACGAGTACCCGTACTCACCGGAATTAATGCAATTAGTGCCCTTTGCTGAAGACGGGTCTTCAAGTACACCTGGCGCTTCAAACCACCACACCCTCAGCAGCATTCACCAAAGGGAGAATCTCCTTGAACCGGTGCCCTAGGTAGATGCGTTCTTGGTAATATTCCAGTGCCCCGCGACGTGATCGATAAACGACTCGTTGCCAAACAAATCGCCAACAACGCGAACCAAGTCGCCATCGCTGCCGTGGCCCACAAGCCCATTGACAAGCACGCTCAAGAGCTCCGTAATCGACAACGAAGCTGTGAGTTTGCGGCTTTAAAGAATATCCTCGACATATGGGACGCGCTGGCCGTTCATTACGGTGGAATTGCCCGTCACATTGACCTCGATCAGCACCTTGCTCAAAGAGGTGGCCTGGCTGTTGAGGACGGATCCGATGTTCTCAATGATGTGGTCGATGTCGACTGAGCCGTTGAGGTAGACGGTGTTGTTGCCCGGGGCCAGAAAAACGTCGTACAGGGTCACAAGCCCGATGCAGACGTCGCCCGTAAAGACGTTGAGAGACACGTTGCCGACGTTGATGTTGAGGGATCCCCAATTCGGCACCGTGACCGAGCCCACCACATTTCGCCCGTCCTTGTCCGGGGGCAGTATGAGGGTTAGGGTTATGACGGCGCATTCGTGCTCAGGATATCGGCTCCTTCTCTTGCTTCGGCGTCATCGTATGGCGTATCAGGTGCCTTGTCACCCTTTTTGGGTGATGTTATATCCCGGGGGTCCTTTGAACCCATTTTGCCGGACGGCATATAAGAGCAATGGTGTCTCGTTCGGTATTGGCAGATATTATATAAAACAAGAACATGTATTAGAGTACTACAGCTGTTCCTGATGGCCCTGTCGGGCAGCGTACAAGTATATAGAGTACGTTGCTGGGGTATTCCTCCCGCTGGACTCAAAGACATGTACTGGGTCGATGTATGTTTCTGAGATGCCATTCGGTTATGGAACACGGACTTTGTTCACCTTGGCTGCCGCCTTTGCCACGCTGGACTTCTATCCCGGTCTTGCAGTGCAAGACTTGCCATTCTGTCTGTGGGGCCTTCGAAACAGTCTCCGAAATGAGTAATTGAGCGACCAATTCCGTAATGATACCATGCGGCATTTCCCTTGCACTTTTTTGGCACCTCAAGTTTTCAAGTAAATTAGTACTTCGAAACAGACGGACTGGAGTGATTGGAACCGGTATTCGACTTGCCCGTAGTGAATGTCTTAAAGTTATATAGCATGTGGGCTCGTGATACACTCTGGCCCTTGGAAGTAGTTTATTTTAGTCACCACTGTCTTACAGCCGTAAACAGATATCGCTTCTGCCTAGCGGCAACGTCACGTAGGCAGCCATGGCATTGCGCTATCATGCCACACAAAAGGGGAAAGGCCGGAGTGCGGCTCTAGACATTAGCCCGTCTCTTGTTCCGTCTTGCGTCTCGTCCGTTCCCGATCCCGGCCGTTCTCGGAGCACTTATCAATCTAGTCGCATTCAGCGTGAATATGAACAAATAAACACAGCTCCCTGGCCTGTCTGCCTTTGACTCCTCGACCCGGGGTCTCCGGCATTTGAAAACATTGGTTCGATGCTTGTGGGTGCGAAAATTACGCCCTTGTCCGGATCACGGCTGGGTACAGCCAAAGTGCCTTTGCGTGTGGCCGCTTTTTGTGCACACAAAATCGGGAGAATACGGATGACTCATTTGATCACAGTTTCTTGTATTTAAGAAGGAGTCCTCATATCTTCTCATTGGATTGAATAATTTTAGCCTGGATTATTATGCAAAGGGCCTGTATAGTTATAGTTATGACTTGCTGATATTGTTAATGGGCCTCGTGTAAGCCTTGTGCCGTTTTCATGAATTGCTTGCGCCATGCTCTGACTTGATTACCGTTTAGTGTACCTTTTTCCTGATTCATATTTAGCATACCTCGAAGCAACCAATTAATATTCTATAGTTGACTTACCGCTATTTTACAGTCTTTATAGAGGCTTGAATTTATAGTGTGGTTATTTACATGACGAACATCCTGTATTGTCGGTTGAGTAGTTGCCGCGCTGCTTTTGGGCCAATAAATTAGAAACTACACGCGTACATAAACCAGGATTTTGAATGATGCTAGTGCGGGATTGTAGCATTGTAATGAGGATCGGGGAATCAGGGCTGAGTCATGTTGCGAGCCGTATTTTCTATTTTCGTAGGGACAGACACACTACACAACAACAAACGAACCTTGTCATCTGAGAAGACTATACTAGACGCCTTGGCGTCACTCCATATGGGCCTAGCCGTTCTTCTAACCGTCGACAGAATAGTACGAAGTTAAGCCTGAACTACTTGTGAGGTACCATGACATGGCTGAGAGAGGTCGCGGATGTGCACAGTAAAAATTCGCTTATTTTAAGTAGAAAGATGTTACTTTAGTGAAAGCGGCTTGCTTCCCGTGCGTGCAGAAGAATAGAGGGCAGGAGGTGGCTTGTCGAGTTCAAGCAAGGATGTCGGTTCGGACGTGGCAGACGCATATTCACAACAACGGCAAATGACTCGAACTAATGGGCAATACTGGATTGTAAAGGAAGACTTTTCTCCCCCTAAGACTGAGGACTAAGTGAGGATGGTGTGATTCCTGTTCCTGCTGCTCCAACTGCGTCTGGCCTATCCCAACTTATTGCAGGCCAAATACCTATGCCTTCTATGGCGCAAGTGCACCGGCGTATCAACGACTCATGGAGAGTAATCAACATAGCTTTCTCCCTCAATGGGAAAATCACCAATCGGGCTTCTGCCAGAAATAGTAGCACCCGACTTCTCCCACCGCAAAACGATTTGTCCTCTGCCAGCGTATCCGGTAAATCTTCCCTTGTAATCTTCAGGGTGCCTAAGCCTAAAAGTGACGGGATCAAACTTGAAGCTACCAACCGGGAACCTGTCGTCCAGTTTACCCTTGACATTCCAGAAAGTGTTGCCGTGGATGCGGGCCTGTAACTTTTCTTCGCTGAAAAGCACCCAGCCGTCAATTTCTTCGTACTCTTCTGGGTTTGATATTGCTGGCCAATATGGTTTCTCGTGAGGTCGCGAAAAATCATCGGAGCCAGCGAAGACGTTGGCGACAGGACCGTTATTAGACTGTACAATTTCATGCTCGGGGACCTGTACAGGAACGATAGCTTGGTCGTTGTCGTATGTGTATGGTGCTCCAAGAACGGTCGTAGCAGAAGCTAAGACGGCAATGAAAGTTTTGGCAATCATGATGAGAACTTGAATAGTATAAGTATAGATTCCAGTGGAGTAGGATATGCAGAGGTATCTGGCCAGTTGAGGTGTCCAGGCAATAGAAGGGATGAGAAAGAGAGAGAGAGAGTCAGGGCTTATATAGTTGAGAAGCAGGGGCAAACCGCAGTTTGCAGGGTTCCACTCATAGTAAGCTATGCCTACTCTGTTGTGGCAGAATATCAAGAGACAGTAATTATGCGGAGGTATATAGAAAGGAAGGTTAGCGGGACAAAGCTTAAAAATGATTATTGCGTAGGGACATGACTGGAATCAAAAGAAGGTCTATTGGGTATTCGGCCTCATCGCTATGGCGTCATTAGAAAGGCTAACATTGAGGGCAAAATCTAGAAGATGTAAACCTTGTAGAGATGTAATATCCTCAAACGGAATGGAAGATTGAGTGGCCGTCCGGCCGGCGAATGACATCTCACGTGGGCATTGCTCGGTGAAGTTGGAGGCCGAATGCAGCACTTCTCTTCAAGCCTTTGAAAGCTACTTGCGCAAACAAAATTTGGAGGAAAATGTCTCAGGCTCCGGATCAAACGGCAGGATATCTTGACATGGAAACCTTACAATTAAAGTTGCAAGCCACACTGCGTTGAAAGTGGAGGTAGTGCCGACTTGGACCAGTTGACGTTTATGGGGCGGTTTGACAAGTTATGCACGAACTGTTTGGTTGATCCGCCCATGTAGTAATACTTGGACAACCCTTACCTACTAGGTAGGATGAATTTATTCTTCGGTCCCTTGTGTATAGAGTAAGCTACCAAGTCTAGGGCAGACTGCGATCCAATCTCCATGGCTGTACTAACTAGGGGCCCAATATGTTGGCCCACGTAGGAAATAGTCTATTTGCGCAGGGCGGAAAGCAAGCCAAGATTTGGACGTGGTCGGGTGATGGGCGGGAAGAGGGCGCGAAGATGCTGACCTGCGAACTGTGACACGTCTAGTGTCGACTGTGATACGCGGTGAGTTCGGGGAATGAATAAGAACATCGCCTAGTCAGTAACCATGATTGTCTGCTCGGTTGGTGTGAATCACGGCCAATCGACACCATGGGAAAAGCCTTGTTGTAATCTATATCGTCCACAGCAACACTGCGGGAAGAAAACTATACACATTGAGACTGCACTCGTTAACATTACGACGTGCTACTGTAGGCTGACTTGTAGCTCACTGGAATGTCTCCTAGACTGTATATGATTTCTACCTCCCAAGGACATCTGTGCCCGCACTGACTTGTATCATCACCATCATTGACTCACCCTCTTTGCTGGCGATTCAATCCTTGAATTACGGATTCACACCGAATAGGTTGGCCAATCAAGCTCTGAGAGGGGTGAAAAAAGTATCACGGAGACTAGGGATAAAATCAGCGTATCTTGTCTATTATATATTCTCTGTTTTCTCATTTAACGCTCGACCGGGCTCACTATGCTTCATTTCTACACCCAATCGTCAAGAAGTAGCAATTTGATCAGGCAATTCTTAAGAAATAGACTGTTTTACTCGAAAGAGGGATCACAAAAAAAATCTCCTAGATATCAGATTCGCACGCAATTTCGCCCAAGTTCACCATGTCTTCAAGGTACGTAGAAACCTCGCCGTCAAGGGTATATTTTGCCATAATGCTATTTTTCTAAACAGCTAACCACTCTAGAAATACATGCCTCAACTGTCATCAAGAATTCGTTTATTTAGACCATCACGAAAAAAGATGCATCTTATTTGAATGTGGGCAGATAGCGGGCTCCGACGAGTATGGGCTAGTCTGCCCAAATTGCAAAGGGGTCTTTGGGAGCTTATGCAACGTGCTCGCACACCTGAGGTACTGTCTATGCTTCTGGTGCTATGCCCCCATGTGCCACAAGGCGAGAGGCGTAACTATGGATTGTTATTGTATCAAGGGCCTGAAAGCAGGCACAACCGACAAGTGCGAGTCCTGCAACGGGACGGGCAAAATGTTCAACCAGGCTCCATGCCCCAACATGTACCATCATAATATTTTTGTAAGGGATTTGACCAAGGAGTCCACATGTTGATGCTAATACTTGTTCAGTCTTCGGTGTGAAAGCCTGTACGGACCTCATCCACAGAAGGACGACGGTTAACCAAGCAAGGGGATTGCTCAAGGCGCGTAAAAGTTGATTCGGCTTTTCTACGGGCGCCACGAGCTCAAGTAGGCAGGGCTTGAGTAGTCAACTGGAGCTAGTGAATCAAGGCGACCAAAGGGTGTTGAATAGAATGTACGCGCCTGAGCATAGCATGTATTTATCTTGGTCTGCCTGCAATATTCTCTGATCTTTCGCTAGTCGCCGTATTTTAAACACATGTTTCTCCTGAAGACAAGATCCTTGATGCCGCCTATGTAGTTTCCATGCTATGAATAAGTCAAAGGCTGTTCGTACGGGGAAATATTACGATAGTCTTCTCCTCAACAGTGAGGCAATCTGTGACCAACATGTACTTTTCGCGTGGTGCCCTCTCGAATATTTCTAGGCAACTGCACCCAAATGGGTATTTGCACATATTCCAAGTTGACACTCTATCGTATGACTAAAATAAGATCTCGTGAAGACATGGACGCGGTTTGCTTCCGAACCCAAATAGACCAAAAGCTTCTAACAATGCAAGCGACTACTTGGACCGAAAATAGAGGATCATCGAAGCTCTCGCGTAATGGTATTGAAATACATATAGAGGTGTGACAGACCGGATATGCGCTGTTACAATTCCGCAACACGGGTTTCGTACTGGCGCGCAGAGCCAGGAACTTGGCTCTCTCTTGGTTGGCCTTGTCGGGGCCATTGGTCGTGGGCATCAAGAAAAGGCAGGATTATCACGCTAGAAGAGAAGGGACAGAGAATAGATATCTGAGATGGGTCGCGGAAATTGTGGTGGACTACACCTTTTGCAATTTTTGGTGATGATCTGAAAGGGTTGGATTCCAAGTCGGCACGGCTTGTCATGGCTGCACTTGTTGTGATGAGCATCGTCGAGGTGACGGCAGTTGATCGAGCCTTGGGTGATCATATGTGCGATGCCATCTTTTTTTGGCAGGAGCTGTTTGTTACAGAAGACATGTAGATACGTGCGCGATTCAATGCCTTGCATGTCAGCTGCGCTTTGGTCTCACTAGGCTTGATTCAGGGTCAGTCGACATGGAGGAGGGGTGGGCGGCGAAGCTGAATCCTACGGTCGGGTGCCTTTGTGGTTTCAGATTCACGTGCGATTGGATCGCGGCACGTCCGAGTTTTATTCTGTGTTATCCAGTTCAACATGGCTCTGCGAAGGATGAGTCATGATCCGGACCAATTTCCGGCATGATCTGGGACGTGCGTGTCCTGAGCAGATGAGTGGGAAATAGCCCCCCATTCATCCCTCCTCTATGAGGCTCTCATGAGCCTCGAGCCTCCCACCGGCATAAGTGGTCATGGCCTCATGCCCCCGCCGACCTTGTGCCATGATGACTGACCGGGACGTCATGTGACGGTATCGAGAGATATATTTTCCGAACAAGAACATCCAGAACATTCGAGTGGCACTACATTTGCATCGTGTGCATCCTCAAATGGCACTGTGCATCATGAGCTCCATGGTGTTTTTCTCACAAAGAGAGCAGGCAGGGCTGAATCCATTCCTTTGCTCTGTCATGGGCTCTTTATTCGATCCCTTGCCCTGCTTCTTCCTTGACTAATGCATAGGCACCCCTCTCTCCGCGTCACCTTGTTACGTCCTCCCAGTTTCATCCTGACTCGTCCCTACACCTTCAGTTAGTTATCAGGCTTCAGGACCAAGCCTTGGACCCTTCTTGTCGACAGCTTCAGATATTCCGTATAGGGCGGCAACATTGCTGAAGTGGAGGTGCGTATCAAGCATTGTTGGGGTTGTGATACCAACATGTCCCTTTGAGTGCGCCAGGGTGCCACGTGCATAGTACTACGTACCGAATAAAAATATAAACTAATAAAAGATCCTAAATTAAAAGGCACTAATAATAAATTGTTAAGTTTATTAAGAGCTGCATTGTATTAATTATAGCCCCAAGAGGCCCGCCTTTTAACCTTTCGCTTTATATCACACTTTAGAGGGCACTAATTATAACGATAATATATATATACAAGTCTATATCTAGCTATAAAAGAGAGAATTATATACGCCCTTTTTATAAGTGCGCTTATTATTAGAGTTATTTACTTATAGTTAAGGGTTTACCCTTATTTAATTATACGTACGTAATTTATACCTATAATAAGTAATTTATTTTAATATACCTTTTAATTAAACCTATTATTAAGGCTATTATAAGCTCTCTTTTTCTTATTTAAATGCTTAATTAAGCGTTAAGGCTATAATTATAGGCTTAATTATATATACCTTACCTTTTCTTAGCGTTTTAATTAATTATTAGTATTATTAGCTTCTTTTTTCTTTATTATATATTACTTCTTTAATTATAATTATATTTTAATTAATATTATATTAGTTTAAAGGCACGCGTTACCCTAGGGTTATTAAAGTATATAAAACGTGCTAAATACCCTCTAGTAATAATTATTAGGCTCTTATTATTTACTTTTAA